ATTTAAAATAATTTAATATAAACATTTTTTTTACGTAGTAGCAAAATATAAACAACAAATTAGATGTCAAAATTATTTATATTAGATCCTATTTAAAAATAATATAGTCTTTAAATTTTTTGGCAACGTTGGTTTATTAAATAATAATAATTACAGAACTAATTTGTTATATTAACAACAAACTTGAAAATCATGAAATATAAACATTTATTAATTTTCTAATGTAAATGCAGTGTAATTGAAGGAAAATATAAATAAAAAATTAGAAATCAAAATTATTTATACGAGGTACTTTATATTACTACCTATTTAAAAATAATATTTATTTTTACTGGCATTTACTTTAAAAAACAAATGAAATATTTCTTCGCAAAAAACTACATGTAAGAGAATTAGCATAAACAAAATAGAAACATCGTTAACTTTTTTTTAAATTGGCACGTGTAAAACTTTCAATTTAATTTTCTCATCCCATAGTTTGAGTTCGATAACCCCCCATTTACTTAACCACATTACTTAAATATGATTATTAAGTTCAACCAATTCATATTATTAAAACATCTAAAATACAAATATGTATTTTTAAAATTAATTCTAAGTTCATCTCATCTCTCTTAAAAATTGCTACTTCTCAAAATTTCCCATTAAAAAATAGACCATATACCATATAAAATAAAATAATTGAAAGATCGGGCTACGGAAAATCACACAAATTTTCGGAAAAATTTTGACACCTGCACACGCACACAATCGTCAATTAAAAAAAACTACTATTTTAGTATTTTAAATATTTTAATAAACGCAAAAATAGCACAGTATTTATAAGGCGAAGTTATAAAAATTTGGAAGAACTAATAATGCACTGACGCACACAAAAATCAAACGAATACTAAATTTCATTTATCAATAGCATTCGATAGTCGTGGCTCAACGATAACCATTTAGTCACACGGCGAGGTTGTCACATATGCTTTAGTATATAAATAAATGAATGATTTTATTCGAATAAAACCATTCGATAATTGAAATCATTCATTCAGTAACCATTCGATAGTTTAATTCATTCGATAGTTCCCATCGCTAGTCAACTCGATAGATATAATAAATGATCTTATTTATTAAAAATCAACAACACAGTACGATAACTTTCGTCGTCAAAGACCAATGAAAAGACACTAAATAAGCACCCCGAACCCAAAATAGGAATTAACAAGTTTTTAAGAAAAGTATAGCAATTACGCAATAACAATAAAATTGTTGGTGCATCCGTTTGAGCGGCTAAGTATACACAAACCTACACTTGGCATGTGTACCAATAATTGTGATTCTTTTGGCTCGAACAATTCCGACAGAACACACAAGATGGCAAGTATATGCCAATAACAAATGTTTGCCAGTAGATATAATTAAAGTGATAGTTAGTAACCTTGACATGCTTTGATCTATTGTAAAAGATTCTAATCTTAAATTAGTTAAATTTATCTAAAAGTTAGTAGTCAAATATCATCTTCATATTCGATGACTTTCTTCGAAGCTCCATAGTAGTACTCCCTTTTTATAATTTTTTACATTATTTCTTGCTTAGTCTAGGAAAATTAATGAAATCATCATACAATCAAACAATCATAAAATAATGATATAGTTAATCTTTAAGGTGTACTGATAAACATACAAAAAGTCCCTGACAGTGGGGGGTGAGCCGGCGGTAGGGGGTGAGCCAGCGGTGGGGAGTGGATGAAAGGTTAACTTTTGTAGTTTTTTGCTTGTATTACTAAAACCGACTAGAAGCCCATTTATGATTGTACTTTGCTGTCAAAAATGTTATAGAAATAGTATACATATTCTAATCGCGGCAAAACTGGTTGTACATCACGTCCTTTCTCCCTCCCCGTGCACTGACAACTTTGCAGGTCGGATCCAAAGAATTGCGATTGGAAAGAAGGACGATAAAGTTTGGAGTCATATTTGGAGTATGAATTAGTTCCCTATCCGTTAGCTTTATTCAATGAAGACTGTATGAGGAAAACTAAAAAAGCAACCTTATATGATGTTCTACCGAATACCGACATTACTATTGATTTTAAAAATAGTATCATTGTTTTAGATGGTAGGTCCCTTCTGCACCGTTCTAAGTGGCAACTGGGATCATCTTATTCCGAGATATGCGATCAGTACATTAACTATGTACTATCTCACTATGGACTGCATTGTACTGTCGTGTTTGATGGCTACAATGATACAAGTAATAGCACGAAAACATCAGAACAAAAACGAAGAGGGGCAGCAAAATCATTTATTGATGTCAATTTTCATCCGGCAATGAAAGTTACTTGTTCAACAAGAGCATTTTCTGTCAAATGCAAAAAACAAATGCCAACTTATTAAACTACTTACAGAAAAAATGCTGGCTGAGAATATTGAAACAAGAGTGGCTGTAAGTGATGCTGAATTATAAAAACTGCAATTGAGAAAGCTGCAAACAATTCTGTGGTTGCTGTTGTTGGAGATGTGGATCTTATAGTTCTTTTAATGGCTCTGACACCATCAGCGAATGAAATATTTTTTGTCAAGCCGGGAAGAGGGAAAATGGAAACTAAAATATTTTCTTCCCAAGAACTCCAAAAACTTTCATATTATTGTGCCATTCTTTTTCTTCAGAGTTTTAGTGGCTGCGATACAACCGCAGGCCTTTTTAGAAAGAGCAAAGCATTGTTTGTTAAGCTTTTTGAACAAAATCCATTAATAAAGGATATAGCAGCCATCTTCTATGACCCGACATCAACTCAAGAATTCATAGTAGAAGCAGGAGAGAAGATGTTTTTAACAATCTACCGTGCCCCTTCTAATCAGACTGATCTAAACAGCCATCGATACTCAGTTTTTTTTAAATCCAATTTAACCAATCCAATTAAACTGGATCCTTTTGGATTTTAATCCAATTAAACTGGATCTTGCTTCGCTGCCACCTACCAAAGGGTCAGCAAAATATCACTCGTTTAGAGTCTACCACCAAGTACAAGAGTGGCTTGGGAACCAACTGCCTCCTGAAATGTGGGGATGGAAGCGAGGATTCGATGGAAACCTGGATATCACCACCTTAGACCCTCCCGCACCTGACACAGTGTTATTTTTTGCCGCTGCAAGAGTGACTGTTCTGGGAAATGTGGCTGCTGAAAAGCTGAAATTTACTGCAGCCTTCTTTGTAATAGCTGCTTAGGTGCGTGTCCCAACGGGGCGTCCGTTGATCTCAATAAAAATGATGTCGATGACAATGATAATGATGATAATAATAATATAACAGACAATTAAATATAATATATACATTTTTCGCTTGATTCAAATAAATAAATTTGGGAAAATAACAAAATCACTCTTAGTTTTTCATTTTGTTAAATTTCAACACCCTGTATCTAAAAGTATTGATCATACCTTAAAAATGAGCAAGGTAAAATTTGTATTAAATTTATTTTACTAAACTCTGGTAGATATTCCTAAAGGTTTTACAGATATAAGCAAAAAAACTAAAGAAAATTACCTTTTACCCTCTCCCCTATTGCCAGCTCGTCCCCCACCCTCGGGGACTTTTACTATGTTTATCAGGACACATCAATGGATAGCTATACCAATTTTAAAAACTACACGAATTATTTCGGCTGATCATCAATTTTCAGCTTAATTTTCCTAGGCTTCCTAGGCACGATAATACAAAAATTTTATGTTTGCTGTGTTTACAATAATAATTAGGTAAGTATTAAGGTAAAATGCATGTTAATTTACGGTATACTTACACTTTTTTTATAACGACAAATTCATGATATAAATTTCAATTACTTTATGCGGGAATACGAAGAGTATAGACTTTTTTAAGCATTAAAACTAATTTCACGTTTTTTTAAGAACTGAAAAACTTATTTGTTTGTACTTTTTTCATACTTTTTAAGGTAAAACTATTAAATGTATTTGTTCGCGTCATAATGCGGTGAACAGCAAATTTTATTTGAATGCGTGTGGTATCATTGATGACGCGAACGAAATCATTTTAATTAATAGTTTTATCTTACTTATTTTAACAATCTTTGCGTTGTAAGGATATGTATTTTTAAAGGACAAACAATTAATTTCATCATTTAAAAAATATATATTTTTTTTTTCTACAGACTGGATGTTTTTTCTAATTTTTGTTTTAAATTTTTGACTTGGTTTTAGAATAATGGCCGCGGGCTTAAGCAGCCGAAGTAAATTGTTGGTTACGCTGGCTCTAAACAAAAAATTAAAACAAGATATAGACAAATCCAAATTAGCAAATAAAAAGCAAAATATTAAAAACAAACAACAAGATGATCCTGAGTATTGTTTAGAAAGTGAATACGACTCTTCTTCTGAAAGTTCTTCTGGAAGCTCTTCTGAAGTCCCTGAATTGGATACTAGTCATGTAACAGCCAATTCTGAAATTTTAACGGATACTGGAAACGAAACTGGTTTCCATTCAAATTACGATATGGTTAAGGACATTGTCGAAGACATTGTGAAGTTGTCCCTTGACTGTGTTGAAAAAAACTATAATATGTTCTTTACCAAAAAAGGAAATCCTCGTAAGCGACAAAGATTTGACACACCTGCAAGTGAACGAAAAAAATTAAAAAGAACAACCGAATCAGCGCAACATAAGGTAAAAGGTACGTGCAATTCTAATACCTGTAAACGCAAGTGCTCAAAATTTATTGATGAAGCTCGTCAAGAGGATATTAATAGGCAATACTGGAACCTCAGTAGTAAAGCAGAGCAATCTTTATTTGTTAATGGTTGCGTGCAACAAATAAGTAAAGGAAGATCCACGACTGGTAATGGACCTAATTCTCGCCGTCAGAATACGTACAAATATTTTCTGAAAAATTCCGAAGGAACAGATATACATGTTTGCAAAGTTGTTTTTCTTTTAACATTTGGGTTCACGAAAAATGATCGTTTTCTAAAAAACCTTAGATCCAATAAGAAAACTAGATTAACTCCTTCAGTCAGGAAAAGAGGACATCGCCCTGCACTAAATAAAATTGATAAGAATCCTATAATAGATCATATTAAATCATTTCAACCAAACATATCTCATTATAGAAGGGGGCACGCTCCAAAACGTTTGTATCTGCCTTCCGAGATAAACATAACTATGATGTATAAGGATTTTAAATCAAAAAATCCACATTTTACAGGAAGTTATGAGTTATACAGAAAAGAAGTGTCTTCGTTGAATATTTCGTTTGCTCAGTTAGGATGTGAAGAATGTTTACCTGCACAGCATATAAACTGCATAAAAAAGAGGAAAATCATGAGGATCCATGCATTTACTTAGATTGTGACCAATGCTGCAAATATCTTCACCATGAAGCCAAATACCCCGCAGCCCGAAAAGAATATGCAAAAGATGGGGAAAAATTAGAAGTTGAAAGCGAATTAACAGTATCGGCCGATTTAGAGAAGGTAATTATGCTACCAAGAGCAGAGATGTTCAAGAAGTAATTTTCGTACCACGGATCACAGTTTTAACGAAAGTTTAGTGCCTGTTGGTAAGGGAAAAAAAATAAAACCACTAGCAGTCTTGTGGCACGAAGGAATTGCTAAACGCAGCAAAGAAGATATTATTTCCGCTTATTATGCTTTCTTTTTAAAAAATCGAGACAAGGAAATTGTTACAATTTGGATGAATAATTGCTCGGCTCAGAACAAAAACTGGGCTCTTTTTTCTTTTTTTGTTTAGATTGTTAATAGCAAAGAAGTTAGTTTAAAAAGTCTAACAATTAAATATTTCGAGCCGGGTCACTCATTTATGTCGGCAGACCACTTTCATCACCAGGTGGAACTGTCGATGAAAAAACACAAAACAGCGTGGGATTTTGACGACTTTGTTGCCCGTGTTTCGTCAGCCAATGGAGGCAAAACTGATGTTATTCAAATGTCCTTCAAAAACTTTTTTAACTGGAAAGATTTTTCATCAAAATTTAAACTCAAAAAGGAGCAATTTTATTTCAAAAATTTAGTCATCGCAACTTTTAACAGAGACGAGAATGTATTTCAATATAAAACTAATTTTGAAGAAGAACAATTCAAAGTTTTGAATTTTCTTAATAATAAGGTAAGATAGTGTTTTTTTTTGTTTGCACATCCTAAGTAATTTTCATATTTTTAGGCAGTAAAAACTGGGATCCCCATGCCAGAACCTAGAGATAGGAATCGTGGGGTAGATTTAACTCGAAAAGACACTTTAGTTTCTACCCTTGCTCCAATTATTCCAAAAACTAGTCTTAAATTTTGGCAGGAACTGGATGTTTATCGTGATCCACCTAATGACGGTGACGATGAGGGCGCTGCATAAAAATTTTGTTTGGAACTGTTTGTAGTTTTTAATAATGTGTTTAAAATTTGTTTTTAAACTGTTGTATATCATTTTATACTGTTTGTAGTTTTCAATAATGTGTTAAAAATTTATTTTGTTTTAAATCGTTTTATACGGTTTTAAAGTTTTCAAAATGAAAATAAATACTTATTATTTGTAAAAGTTTAAGGTGCGTCTTTGTCCTATCTGTGGTTCATACGAAATTATTTTTAAAGTTTACTAAAAATAATGTCCTATCTTTCAAAAACCTATTATCTACTAAGGTAATTTAACTAATCAAAACAATAATAAAATTGTATACCAATTAACAAGCTCTACCCAAAATTTTAGTTTTCTTAAACGATATCTAAGAGGTGGTACATAACAAAAAACTGAAACGTTTATTTCTCAGAAATGTTACTTTGTCAGTTAGGACGCTTCAGCTTAGCACGGCAGAATACTAGAGCAACTTCAAATAAAAAAATAATGGTATTTAAGATAATTTGAAAAAACCTAATTTTAAAAAGTTTTAACATGTTGTAACTTAACTATGCATTTCCATACCCATGTCCCATGTTTATAAGAACTATTTTTCATATTTTTTTGATGAGGAATCAATGAGTACTTATTTAAATATTGTGCAAGTTAATGATATTATTTTTTTTAAAGGTTGCTATTAGAATTGGACCAAGAAAAATTAATATAATTACGTTTATCTTATCAAGGAGGTCGAAATCGACAAAATATCAAGAGACAACTTTTAATCGGCACTAAACTGCTTCCACTATTTCGCTTACGGAAGAAAAAAAGTCAGTGGTACATTCTTTTATTAGAAAAATATTCCAGTGATAACCCGTCCCTGGTGAATATGTCGACACTTTTTTAGCTTTAAAATATGTCGCATTTCATTCGAAACGCTAAAAGTACTTCGAAAAAAATCAAAATAAATCGAAAAAATATTAAGACTTTAACACAACACAAAGCACAATCAGACCTATGTTGATATGAGAAATAAATCTTATTTTTACGTGAGGAATCTCCCCACGAGAGATGGCACATGTTTTTTGAAACACCCTGTACAAATATAACAATACCATATTGTAGTAAATATATTATTATCTAAATCTATTATCTCTAGGACCTGTAAAAGCTTGTAGCGCCGATGGAGTTACAGTGAGTGACGAAGATACCCAATCTGGATGTGTTGGAGGCAGCTCATACATGTGCAACAATCAGCAAAGCATTGTTATTAATTCCACATTAGCTTATGGGTAAGAATTATTAGTGTTTGTAATAATAATTGTTTGCCTTAATATGTCTATTTTAATTTATATAATTCAATTATTTATTATTTTCTTACCTTTGTGCGACATAACTCAACTCGCATTTCCCCATTAAAAACAATTGAACATCACTTCTACTTTAACCAGACGTAAACCTATAAGCATAATTTTAAATGGCACCATGTAAATTTTTATGTATAACTTAAATTCTCTTAATTTTCTCAAATTCTCTTAATTCTCTTTTCAACTACGAGTATATATCACAAATTAATATTATGGTAATTATTGGGAAAACTGGAAATCGCCAGATTTTCACCAAAATTTGTATACATCCTATTTTGAGGTCGTATATAGATTACGAATCTGAATCTTTTTCCTTGGCGGTCTCTTACCGTTTTTCAGAAAAACGGAAAATTATTTCAACATCGAATTTTTCTTAATTTCTCATATTTTTAAGGTTTTCTAGCACATATTTTGTTAGGTATTCAATAAACAGATATTATTGCTATTTTCTGTTACTTTTTTAACCAATTTTATGCATAATAGAGGAAAATTTGCTAAAATAAATTTATAAACAATCTGAAAATGTTGGGTAATGTGTTTCTGGCATTTAAAGCAACGTTGCCAATGCTAAACCTAAATTTAGCGTGTTTTTTTCGCTCATTCTGGGATTGCGAAAGGCGGTCGCCAGAACGGCTCCTTCCCATAATTGCTATTTTACCAACGAGATCTGACTATTTATAACCACGAAGTTGCACGAAAGAGTTTTGATTGCATTGGTTACAACTTCCATGCGGAGGGTGTTAATCTTTCGTTGTTATATTATATCAAAAAAAGATTAACCCCCTCCGCAAAAAAACCAATGCAATCAAAACTCTTTCGTGCAACTTCGTGGTTATAAATAGTCTTTATATAACTTCTTTGCGGAGGGGGTTAATCTTTTTTTGATATAATATAACAACGAAAGATTAACCCCCTCCGCATAGAAGTTGAAACCAATGCAATCAAAAATCAAAACTCTTCCGCGTAACTTTGTGGATATAGGTAGGTATATTTAATTATTGTCGATCTCATAATAGGTAATTTATTTAAAATCCCTAATCACTCGAAAAAATAGAAGATATGGCAACGTTGTAAATTTTCAAATTTATAGATTAGGTCTAGAATATATTATTTGTCTCTCTCATTACATAGGAGAGAGAACGAAGGATATATCAAATGTCAAACTTCCATCTAGTCTCAATTTTCTTTATTATTTTGTTAATAAAAGTGTTTTTTAGTAAACTTTTGGACATTTTTCTATCCCCAATCAAGTGTGGCTTTTAGATAAACTATAATATAATGAAAATATAGTGAAATTATTACTTTATAGGGCCGAAGTAAAGAAATATTCAATTTTGAAATAATTTTCCGTTTTTCTGAAAAACGGTAAGACACCGCCAAGAAAGAAGTTCAGATTTGTAATCTACGACCTCAAAGTAGTGTGTATACCAATTTTGCTGAAAATCGGACGATTTTCAGTTTTCCCAGTAATTACCAATATTATTTTTGAAAATGTCGGCATTTCATTAAATTAAAACTAATTTTGCCCATAACACACCATCATCACACAGCCACTCGCGTCCACTGCTGGACATAGACCTCCTTTAATCTCTGCCACTCCTCACAAGAGTGCCACTCCTCGCAGCATTCATCCAATTTGTGTCGATTCTTTTTGTATTCTTGGACCAGCGTGTGGGTGGACAACCTCTACCATGATAAGCGTCCTGCCTGGGACTCCATTTGATAATTCTCTTAGTCCACCGAAAATCCGATCTTCTTGCCAGGTGTGTTAGATGTTAGATTTTATAAAGGACAAGGGACGAACACGAAATTAAACGAGGCTTGGTCTGAGTAGCAACTGGTTTATTGTGAGGTTGTGTTTTTCTTATATACGCGCGATGACGTTGACACACAATGGCAATGTTGCCATACTTAACAAGGTGTCCGGCCCAACTCCACTTAAAGTGAGTGATTCTTTCCACCACATCTAACAACCCAGTCATCCTGCTTATAGTTGTATTAGCCACTTTATCTACATATAAGGGATAGGCCTAACATGGCTCGTTCCATTCTTCGTTGCGCTATTCTTATTTTGTTCGCACTATTTTTGGTTAAGGTTAAAGTTTCAGAACCATATGTCAGTACCAGTAGAACACACTGATTATACACCATCCGCTTCAGACAGATTGCCAAGCAATTAAGCCTATTCTTCTACCAATCTCAGAAGTTTGATTGTCTCTGCCAATACGTACTTCGTGTCCTAGATACCTACTTGTAGGAACTCAAGGAACTCACTTGTTAATAATAGTCTCTCCCCCAATGTGGTACACACCCTGGCCCACCACCATGTTTATCATAAACTGATGACTTCGGATCCCTGATTTTGTATACGTAGAATTTCTTCGTACCACTAGTTTCAGTATACAACGCAGCATACAAATCTTTAACTACATTTAGAATTTCCTCTTTGGCCGCTGTGATATGTCCGTTTTTATTTTTTAATTTGCAAATATTTCTCTTCCCTTCTGTTATATTTTTTCTCATTACTTTCATTCCGCTGTTTTCTTCTATAATAGTGGATATTTTTTGCATGTTATATTTTCTTATATCCTGTCTAATTGCTTTCGAAATGCCTCTATTAAGTCTATTAGGTTGTTTCAGCTCTATTGAATTTGATGAACAACCTTCCCTTAGTTCTCTTCTTCTTGTCATGAGTAATCTAATAGTTGCACTTAGCTTATCGGTTATATTCCTACTTGCAGATGTGCAGCTCTGTTGTGCGCTGTTCATAACTTTGGTTAGCTTCTGATTTTTTTCATCTGCGTGAAAAAAATCAGATCAGGAATATTTAGTGGTCCGAACTGTATTTCGGGAACTTTGGCAGCATATTCTGCAGATAAGCATAAGTAAAAAAGTTCTTATAAATGTATACGAAAACGTTTAGTTTCTTTAAATCTGACTCCTATTTGGAGGAGGCGCCACTTACATGTGTTTTAACTGTTTTGAAAAGTAATAAATTTTCGTCTGTACCTGTATAAAACTTTCAATGATTTTTTACTTAAATACGTCTCTTGGTAAAAATCGATACATGCAACCGTTCTCAAGATAATTATAATGAAAATAGTCAATACATGTCATTATTGGCAAAAAAATAAACCTTTTGAGTAAGTAGTTATTTGACTGAAATGATAAATTTGAAATGTTTTTGTGTCAATAGTTCAACAGAAGCTATTTATCATCATTTTTTCGAAGAAAAATTTATGATTAATTTAAAAAAATAAAAAGTTTTTTAAATTAATCATAAATTTTTCCTTGAAAAATTATCAAAAGGTTTGTTTTGAACTTTTTGATACAAAAATATTTCAAATTTGTGATTTCTGTCTAATAATTATTTAGTCAACATGTTTAATTTGTGTCAATGATGACAGGTTATAGGTCCGTGTCAATGATGACCGGTATTCATAATTTCGATTCCAAATATTTCGAAAACCATTACTTGTAGGAATTTTTATCAGGAGACATTTTTTACATAAAAAACGTCGTAAATGTATATTTTTTTACTCAGCAGGTTTATACAGGTACTGACGAAAAGTTATTACTCTTCAAACCAATTAAAAAATATGTAAGTGGCGCCCTCTACAAGTAGGAGTCATATTGACATCAAAATCAAATTTCCTATGTGAAAAAACTGCCAGACACCAATTTTCATCCAAATATTGACGTTACTTCAAAAATTGTTTGGAAAAAATTGAAATAAAAATGAAATTTCTACAAACTGTATCTCAGAAAGTAAGCCATTTTAGGACATACATTTATACGAACTTTTTCACGTACTATCTACAGAATATTTACCGAAGTTTCCGGAATAAAGTTCGGCCCATCCTATACGTAATCCATTTCGGTCGCTAATAGAACGTTCCACGTTCTGCTTTTCAACTGCCATACTTCGCTTTCAACATTCTCTAAAATATGTATGTTTTTCTTTAAGTTAATTTTTGTCTATGTCTGTGTTCCATGCATTTCCAATTTTAGCCCTTCAAAGAAAAAACTACATTATTTCTATTAATGATAAATTATTTATTTCGGTAAATCAATAAAAAATCATCAATACTATACCATTTTACTCATATTTCGACGTTTGATGTTTAATAAATATGACCTCATAATTTTGACATATTGACGTCGGAATAAAACCGCTGTATGCT